GAACTTCGGATTACGGCAGCGAAGGGTAAAGGATTTGTTGGCGCAGCAAGGGATGATGAAGGCACTATCTGGGAAGAAACCATAGGGTACGTCAGATGCCGATTGGGAAGAGCTCGAGGCGTGAGCAGTTGGTACAATTCGGCTTTGTTTGGCGGACGAAATCATGTATCACATCATGGAAGTTGAGTCTCCGGCGGAGGTTTGGGAGAAATTGGAGAGTCGTTATATGTCAAAGTCTCTCACGAACAAGCTGCATCTAAAGCAGCGACTGTATGGGCTAAAAATGTTGGAGGGCACGGATCTGATTCAACACACCAATGTGTTCAATCAAATCATCAGCGATCTATTGCGACTTGAAATCAAGTTTGATGATGAAGACGAGGCAATGATTTTGTTGTGCTCACTTCCTCCTTCGTATGACCATCTGGTTACCACGTTGACATGGGGTAAAGAGACTCTCGAGTTGGAGGAAGTCACATCAGCCCTGTTAGCCTACAACCAGCGGAAACTGCGTACTGGTGAAACTTCACAGGGTGAAGGGTTGATCGTAAAGGGCTACCAGGATCGTGGGAGAAGGAAGGACAGGGGTGTTTCTTTTAGAGGAAACACAAGATCAAAATCTAGGAATCAAAATAAGAAAAACGTCAAGTACCACAAATGCCATCAGATGGGCCACTTTAAGAGAGACTGTCCCAATAAGAAGCAGAGTGATGAAAGGAAAGGTGATGAGTTCTCAAACTCAGCTAGTGTTGTAGAAGGAGACTCGGATTCTGGAGATGAAGACATGTTATCAGTCTCTGCAGGTAATTCTGTAAAATTAAATGGCTGTTAGGTACTTGATTCGGCATGTTCATATCACATGCGTCCTCCCCGAGATTGGTTTCATTCATATCGTTTTGGTAATTTTGGATCTGTTCTGATGGGTAATGATGCATCATGTAAGGTCATTGGAATGGGGTCCATAAAATTTAAAATGTTCGATTGTGTGATAAGGACCTTAGAAAATGTTAGGCATGTACCTGAGTTGAAAAAGAATCTAATTTCTTTAGGCACTTTAGACACAAATGGTTACTCTTATAAGTCAGAGTGTGGGGCTCTAACAGGGAAGAAAGAGGCTATGATTGTGATGAAGGGTCAGAAATTAGTAGGGAATATCTACAAACTACTTAGGGATACAGTTGTAGGTGGAGTTGCTACAGCAAAATCTGAGTCAGATGACACTCTTCTATGGCATATGCGACTGGGGCATATAGGAGAACTTGAGCTTCACAAGAGGAATTTGTTGAAGGGGGTAAAATCATGCAAGTTGAATTTCTGCAAGTTCTGTGTACTTGGAAAACAATCCAGAGTACAGTTCAAGATGGGAAAGCACAAGCCAGAGGGAATTCTTGATTACGTGCACTCAGATGTTTGGGGACCAGTGAGGGAGTTGTTCAAAGGTAGATCTCAGTATTTTATAACTTTCATTGATGACTTCTCTAGAAAAGTTTGGGTATATTTCATGAAGCACAAGTCTGAAGCCTTTGCCAAATTCAAATTATGGAAAGCAGAAGTAGAGAACCAGATGGGCAGAAAAATTAAGTATCTGAGTACAGATAACGGTACAGAGTATACAGATTCACAGTTTCTGAGATTTTGTGAGGAGCATGGTATTCAGCGGCACTATACAGTTCGCAAGACACCGCAACAGATTGGTGTTGCGGAAAGGATGAACAGAACAATTGCAGAACGGGCAAGATGTTTGAGGCTGAATGCAGGGTTCTCGAAGAGTTTTTGGGCAGAACCAGTGAACATGGCATGTTATGTCATAAACAGATCACCACGAGCAGCACTAGATGGGAAAGTTGCAGAGGAAGTTTGGACAGGTGATGAAGTTGATTATTCTGAATTGAGAGTCTTTGGTTGTCCGGCGTATGTGCATGTATCTAGTGATCAGCGATCCAAACTTGATCCGAAATCAAGAAAATGCATTTTTCTGGGCTATGTTAAAGGTGTAAAGGCATACAAGTTTTGGGATCCAAAGACAAGGAAAATGGTGATAAGTAGGGATGCAGTATTTGATGAAGCATTCATGCTTAAAGCTTCTATAGACAAACAGAAGCTCAATTCAGACGAGGGCAGAGGTAATAGCCAAGTGGTGCAAGTAGAGCTAGAGAATGTTAACACAGAAATTAATGCTCACGGAGCAGATAGTTCTGGGTCAGAGGTGGAGCAGTATCATAGTGTTGCCTTAGATAAACCACGTCGCACTACCAAGCCACCAGCAAAGTATGGATTTGAGGATTCGGTTTCTTATGCACTCATTACCAGCAATAGCGATCCTATAACTTTTCAGGATGCCATTGGTAGTCAGGAGAAAGGTAAATGGATAGAGGCTATGACGGAGGAAATTGAGTCACTGCATAAAAATGATACTTGGGATTACGTGGAGCTTCCAGAGGGGAAGAAACAGATAGGGTGTAAGTGAGTGTAGAAAGAAAGAAACAATGTCAGAAAAGGAAGGAGAAAGATACAAGGCTCGATTAGTAGCAAAGGGATACTCACAGAGGAAGGGAGTAGATTATGATGAAATTTTCTCTCCGGTCGTCAGACACACTTCTATCAGGATTGTTTTGGCAATGGTGGCTAATTTTGACTTGGAGTTAGAGCAGCTAGATGTGAAGACTGCTTTCCTTCATGGTGATTTGGAGGAACAGATTTTCAGGGACCAGCCAGAAGGGTTTTTGGAACCAAGAACAGAAAATCTTGTGTGTAAACTGAAGTAGTCTTTATACGGGCTTAAGCAGTACCACAGCAATGGTACAAGAAGTTCGACTCTCAAATGATTCAGATTGGCTACAGTCGTTGTGAGTATGATTGTTGCGTATACTACAGAGTTCTTGAGGATAACTCATATATTTTCTTGATGTTGTATGTGGACGACATGTTAATTGCTGCTAAGAACATGGATGAGGTAAATAAATTGAAATCGTTGTTGAGCAGTAAGTTTGATATGAAAGACATGGGACCGGCTAAGAAAATTCTTGGCATGGAGATCAACAGAGATAGGAAAGCCAGAAAATTATGGGGGTCTCAGAAAATTATTTGAAGTAAGTGTTAGAAAGGTTTAGCCTGTCAGATGCAAAATCAGTTGCCACACCACTTGCAAATCACTTCAGATTGTCTAATAATCAGTGTCCAAAGAGTGAAGAAGATGTTGCAGAGATGTCAAAAGTACCTTATACCAGCGTAGTTGGATGTTTGATGTATGCAATGGTATGTACTAGACCAGATTTAGCACATACAGTCGGTGTGATTAGTAAGTATATGGCTAATCCTGGTAGAGAGCATTGGAAAGCTGTAAAGTGGATTTTCAAGTACTTGAAAGGTACAATGGAGTGTGGGATCATGTTTGAGAGACAACATGGTGATATTTAGTTCAAGGATATGTAAATGCAAATTACGCAGGGGACTTGGATGACAGAAGGTCCCATACAGGTTATATTTTCACACTCGCAGGTGGGCCCATATGTTGGAGGTCAATGGTGCAATCACTTGTGGCATTATCTACAACTGAAGCAGAGTACATGGCGGCAACTGAGGCAGCCAAGGAATTATTGTGGTTGAAAAGGCTTGTCAGGGAACTTAGAATCAAGCAAGATGGAATGAAGCTGTACTGTGATAGTCAGAGCGCCATCTTCCTAGCTAAGAATCAGATTTATCATGCAAGAACTAAGCAGATTGATGTGAGATTTCATAAGATAAGAGAGTTGGTTACTTCAGAAGAGCTGTTGTTACAGAAGGTGTATACCTCAGAGAACGCAGCAGACATGATGACAAAGTCGATCACAATGGATAGGTTCAAGCATTGCTTGAATTTGATTAACATCTCTAACTGTTAGAGAGGATGTGTCCCAACCCATTGGTCCTAGATGGTGTGATTTTTTCCAGGTTATGTTTTTTCTCCTAAGGGGTGAATATGGCCTTGTGCGGGTTTAATTCACTGTCTGGTTGTTAGGGACGCTGAATGGGTTGGGGGTGTGGGGGCAACGCCCCCGCGGTACAATACAGGGGTATTTTCTATACGGGCCCACGCTAGGGTTAGTATAAATAATATATTGTAACCCTATTTTTCACAACTGAATAAAAGAAATCTCCACTTCGCTCTCGTGGACGTAGGCACACCGCCGAACCACGTAAAATTCTTGTATTGATTTTCGTTTTCATCTCTTTAATATTGCGCATAAAATCGAACACTATTTAAGGAGCATCCAATGGTCTTGTCCATAAGTTTGATCCCTACTTTCATTTAAGAATCAATCAAAATAGTGCCAGAAACATAAGGATCCATATTATACATGTGTTCTGGATACTTAGCTATCTTGAGAGCTTCACTCAATATGACTTTAAAATGTATATGGCAAATGATTTTGAGTTTTTCCAATGATGTTAACTTCCCTGAGATTTCAGGGACCACACAGATAACATACATGCTGACTGCTGAGTTGTTGACATGAGGATAACATGTCCCAGTTGCATCCTACCATTTCAACCAGGCATCAGTGCCACTGGACGTTATGTCTTCTAAGTAACTCCATCCACAACAAGGATGAGTCATGTACCCAACTCATTTAGGCTACAAGAACATACATCAGAGTATCCTACTTTGAGAAAGAGTTAGAAAATGTTAAATTTGCAGCTAACTGGTACCTTCTTGCCTTCTACCTTCCCATTCCTTATCTTGTCCAGCAATGGTATGGACTTTACTAGACATACTCAAGTAAATTTGAGGCTTTAGTAGTCATCCAAACCATTTTCACAATTCGCACAAACTTTCACAGAAGCTTTGAGAAACGATTACATGTACCCACAACATAGAAGCAATAATTCTTAAGGTAACCACAAAATTAAGAACATATCAGCAGCATAAACAAAATATCATTTCCATTTTGAAGCGTTTCAGAAAGAAGTGAATATCTTGGCACACTTATATGAAAGTATTATAAAACATAAGAGCTCACCTGCCTGTAATGTCGAACACCTTTACTCTTTTTTGGAGTTGAGAATAGAAGCTTAGGAGCTCGATCTGAGACAAGAAAAGGATCCTGTCCATATATACGAAATACGGGTCGGCACCCACCCTCTCCATCAAAATCAGGAATCATTCTAATAATGACACAATCCAGGGTGAGTGCCCTGTCTAGTGGGGGCCATTCTGAGACAACATTCCTCCTAGAGACATACTGCAAGTACCTTATCTGAGAAGGAATGGGATTCAGTGGGGACAGAAAGTGCAAAAGCTCACGAGGAGCTTGCTTATAAACCATGTCCAAGGTCTTCTGTTCTCCACTATAGTGCTTCCTATATATCAACAATGCAGCCAACATGAAAGCCAAAACTGGCCAACCACCCCGTTCACAGTGCATCAAAAGTACATTTTGCAGACCAAGTGAAAGCCAGCTCTCACTAGATCTAAGAAAATGGTGGATCACCTCCATTGGAAGCAAAGGACAACCCTCATAGTGCCGTGGATACTCCATTATGGTCATATCATATTCTGACAGAGCATTTGCCATCTGGCTTTGTGTCACCCCCTCTCGAAAATTAAAAACTAAGATTGAAGCATCAGGGTAGTGTTCCCTAAGTTGACCAATGATTCCTCCCACATAGCCTTTATAATTTTGTTCTTCCCAAGCATCAGTGGTGAAACAGCAATCAAACACTGCTTTACACAAACATGCAATTGTCAATCATTGAGCCCAACATATCAATCGAGATTGAACTTGTAAAATTCTTAAATGGTGTGAGATACATAACACATGACTTAATCCAAACAACTGTTTATTTTCTGCCACAAACAATTAACATCAGCACGCCAAATAAGATTACCATCATTACAACCTAAATCATAATTCGGAGCTTTTTAGACAGTATAGTTCAGCTAACCTGAATTTCTCATTGTTTTCAACTATTTCCCTGCAACTCATTTTTTTTAATTTTATATTCTAAATGGTCTCAAATAATTAAATCTCAAGTAAAATACTAACTAACCCATCGAAGTCCACAAGCATAGGAAAAAGTTACCAAAATTACCTTCCTCAAATTGTATTACTATATAGTTCCAAGCATAAGAAATGTTAATAGCATCCAAATCATTCAACGATAACTCCCATAAATTTCAAGTAAAGACTTCTTCAAATGATTTAATGCAATTCCCTATCCATGTTAATAACATAATTTCTATCTCGGGTTATCTTGTGAAGACATCACTTACCAATAATGGATGTGGTTGACATCAAAATTCTAAAACTACCTGTGTACTCTAAGCAATGGAAAATGAGAATATCTGATATGCACATGGTAAAATATCATTTCAACACGTTTGATCGAGAATGGAGATAGGTTTACAATAAAGTGTTTTGATAAAGGGCATATTTTCTTAATATACTTGACCTCAAAGACAGACAATATCATCAAACAGTTGCTTCTAATTGTGCACCAAATATCTAAAGTAAATATCCAATCTATAAATCCCTAAAAATTACTGGTCAAAATTGCATATGAGATCCTTCACAGTATGCATTTGATTTACTAATCAGATAATATGTAACTACAGACGGAAAAATGTACGTGTACAAGTATATGCATTTGAATTCATCAATTGTTTTTAAAGCAGCCTGCACCAAACCCCCAATGCCTAGTTCTAAAACCTTTAATTCAATGGTAATACAATGTCACTTGCAGTATCACAACTCAATCACTGCAATTGCATGTAGGAGCCCGTACTAGTTCTTGGTGGGTCTGATGAATTTGACTTGTAATGTTAGTTAATTGTGCATAGTATGTTTCACGGTAAAACTCAATCTTCTCCCATATCTCATTTTGGAATTTCGCATTTAATAATCCAATGGTTTTCCCCTGCCCGAAAAGCAAAAAGCTATAAACCAAGCATACATGGTTGAAAATTTTGCTGTTTGTGCACTCATATCACCTAATGCAACATTTAAAACTTTACATAAACACGTGTGTATTATATTCCAACATTGATTGTAAAATGAATTTTCATTCGTGGTGCATTCATTGATGGGTGGTCAGATAGACAAAAGTGAAGCAAAATTGCCTAAATTTGAACACCAAACGTCTCCAAAAAACAAAAAAAAAGAACACATTTTTATCCAATTTCTCGAAATAATGAGAACAAATTTCTCAACTTTCCACAGAATAAAAAAAAAGATTAGAGACGGTACAACAAAATCCACATAGAAATTCGGACAAACTAGTTTATATAGAAATTTCAAAAAACGAAAGAAGAAATGAAAGAAAGCAGCGGTGAAGAAACAGAAAAAGGAGCCAAACCGCACCGTAAACCCTTTCACAGATCTCAAGAAGTCCATCTGGCGGCTTCCGAAAAAACAACTTCCGTAGCAATGCCATTCAATTAACACTCCTACCTTATATATTCTCAATCTCTGTGTTGTTTTTGGAGAGCAAACTGATTACTACAAATTTCTGTGTAAAATCTATATGTCAATTTTGCAGTGAATTTTGTTTCTTGCGATTAATTTCGGGTTTCTGTTTGTTAAGAAATAGGTAGCTGAAGGGGACTATATTTCCTCTTGCCGCGGGCATGAAATGAAAATTAGCAACCGACTATTGATTCTTGGATTAAAGTCCAAGTACCACGTCAGCTCACGTATTTATCATAATCTCTTGGAGACCGGATCTTCTGCGGCGGGTGATTTCACTTTCATTCCTTGGCTTGCTTTAAAACATTGTACATACAGAATTTAAAGTGACTTGTCAAACTAGTTTTCGCAGTTGTACATAAAGTACAGGAATTTTTTCGTTCTCAGAGGATTTGCCTACGACTGCACACTCAAAATTCAGTTTCTAAACGTAGCCAGATTAGTTATTATCTTCTCTTGTACTGTTAAATGGGTCAGTCCAGATATTAAATGAAATCATTAAGCTCTGTTTCGTACGAGAAACTCTATGGTGTAACTATCGCACCGTCCTATGTGGTGTGACCGTCCAATAGGAGCTCCATTTCATCGGGTGGTCCATCCTCACCCAATGAGATAAGGCCACCTCAGGATTTGAGGTAGAGAGAGAAAAAAAAAAATTCAAGTATTGAGGTAGTCTCACTTCATTGGGGGAAGATGGGTCATCTGATGAGGTGGGAGCTCCTCGTTAGGAAGTCACACCACGTAGGACGCTGCGTCCTACCAAAGTTTTTATCATTTGGTACATATTATTTAAATTATTTTTTTAAAACTCTAGTTAAAATAATTTTGTATGTCAACTTGTAATTTTTCCTATTTTTAATCCCACATTTTCATAAAATTCAATTTTTAGAAAATTATTCTTGAAAAATCTACATCAAACAGGTCTTAAATGCAAGTTGGACCGCGCTTTTAAATGCTTATTAATTGTGGATCTAACGAGAGTGTAAACAAATAATTAATTAATCTACAAATTTGTGAATCAAAAGTACGTCTAATCAACTTAAATTATAATTTAAACTTGACCAAACATGCTCTAAAATCCCTTTGTCCCCCACCCAAAAACTCCACTGTTGTTTAATTCTCAAATTTGTGAAGAAGTTGGGTGAGTGGCTAGATAAGTTAACAAAAAGAACCCTTGCTTTAAGGGATGGCCGAAGTTTGCGCTTTAAAGGTAACCAAGCACATGTTGCCGAACCGGGGAAGAAACACGTGTCTCTAATTCTTCTATTTTTCCCATTTGGACCGAACCGTCAAATGTGAAAAGATGATACGTCTTGGACATATATTTCAAGAGTTTTGGTTGAAGTTTTAAGTTTTCGATTTTGTTGAGTGCTTGTTTGGTAGGAATTTTGATAATTGATTTTTTAATCATTAGAGATAAAAATAGATCTTATATCTTTGAAAAGAATTCAAAAATGACAGTTGGAATAGTGAAATGACGGTCAAAAAATTGATTTTAATTGACTTAAAATCTGTTCCAAACATGCTCTGAGTCAGTCAATGGTAAAATTTAAATCGACTAATTTAGAGAGGACTAGCTAAGCATTGTGCAATTAATAGTTTAACAAATATATGGATTTAGAGCTTGTACAGAACAAGCCTACATATTAGGAAGCTATAATACAGAACGATAGGCTAGGGATATTGAGATTGAGACTTGTAATGTGAAAAACGGGTATTTTTATGAACTTTTTATTTCTTACATTAGTTGTTGGAATGGTTTTAAGTTAGTGATATTGGTCAACTTTGAGTTCCAATTTTAGTACGATTCATATTCCAAATGCTAATGAGATTAAGCATATTGACGTTCTACTCCACGAGGTGATTCACGTAATATATTTATTTATCCAAAATCATTTGGAATGAAATATTATATTTCAAAGTTACCCACTTGAAATTTGAAATAAATGATAAATTTGATTTAATTGAAAAATGCAAAACTTTTGTTCCACGTTGGAAATCTTAGAGACTTTTGTGTGGTTTATATAGTGGATGGTTTGGTAATTAGGTTTGGACCAGAATGGATACCAATACTGTTTGGAAAAGGAAGACCTATATCATATTGAGTTTGGTCATAAGTCCACTTGTATGCGTCGCCACACTTTGACCGACCGATCGACTCAACACGGCATAAGCACAAGGATTGTCTGAACAGTAATGACTATTCCGAAAAGGCTTGAAGAAGAGTGTTCTAACATCCACAAATATATTTATAAATAGCCTATCTTGGTGTCAAAAATTTTACACCATTTCCATTGCAGTCATTCTCTACTTTGAATCTCACTCCGTCTCTCATATCCTAATATTGTTCTTCGAAGTTTAAACATTTCTTTGAACTTGTTGGAACTTCTACAGATTATTGTACCGTTTCCGTATGAGACAAAATTCATTCTATCCTGGGAGACGATTTCTAAACGGTTTTAGCACTATTGAAGGGAGTAAATTCATCTAATGAAAACATCGTGAAGTTGGTGAGCTCGAATAAACATTTTTGGCCCTGTTGATCATTGCATTACTCTGCTCTGCAAGTGTAAATATCTTTAAAATGTTCTAAAGAGAAAATTATACTCTAGAAGCAACAGTTGTAATATTGTGCCACCTGTTTCACACCAATATTGGCCAGATCTATTAAAGTTAACTTCACTCAAATATAAAAGATGAATGTGAAGCAACTTTGCAGTTAGATCTAAAAATGACCAACTCTGTGATATTTCATAAATCAATTGTCGTTGAACTATAGATATCTTGTCAGTACATGTAATTACTAAGCCCAATGTGAACAATTTATAAACTACTCAAAGCAAGTATAAATATTTTATTGTGCAGTAACAGTTTCTTATCTATCGAAATAATTTTTTTTCTCTTTGGAGATTAATGATGTGGTGCTTGTGCTTTTATTCCAGCGTCTGATAAGCCAGGAGAACGAGTTAAAGTATTTCATTGGAATTCACTAGTATTAACGTGATAGTGAATATTAAAATTGGCTTGATTAGGGTTTGTGAGATGGCAAGTGAAGGATCTTTTTGTTATTAATTGTATTTAAAAAATAAATAAATAAAATCACTAGTTAAGAACATTCGTACTGCACGTGATTTTATAATAATATTATGGATATGATCTGTTTAAATTTTTAAATAGTTATGATTTAAACAAACGAAAATTCGACCACATTCAAAATTTATTACGCACTAAAAAGAGTACTTTGATAAAATATATTATTTTTAGCGCTACTAATTAAAATTGTCATTAATGAATGCAGTAATTCTTGAAATATCATATATCATAAGTTTGGGTATAATTAAAATGGAAAAGATAATGCGATAATAAATATAGCCCTTGTTTTGAGCCCCATTCTTTTGGAAAAATATATTTTTCAACAATATTTAGACATCATTTCAATTACGCATTCTTTAATAAAATAATATTACATGCATATCCAAAAAAAATTTTATTTTTTAACCACACATTTTTCATCAATACACTATTCAAAAATTCATTTTTTCCCAAAAAAAAATGAAGCTCAAACAAGGGCATAGTGACTAGAGAGACGCTTCTAAAATTTCTACCTTTGAAAATGTTAACATGGTTGGATACTTGGATTGTCGCACCATTTTACTTGGCTTTTTGGACTATACTTTGTTCTTGAGCTGCCTATTCACTACTATATAAAAAGGACTGTAGAAAGAACAGTAAATACTTCCATTTTGTCTCACTATAGCTTCTTTTTTTTTATTGAGAGAAAGAAACGACGTCGTTTATCTTACGTGTTGTTGCTTTTCCTCAATTTACGCGGCGTGGAGGATTATGTCATAGAACCCTCTTTACTCTTTCTTCATTTTTACACACTACAGTCATGCCTCTCTATTTTTCCACACTATCTCTTTCACCATAGAAAGTTTATTTTTGAGCACATAAATAAGTTTAAATAAAAATATTATTTTTATATATGTACGTAAAAGGTATATAGTAACCTTTGGTTGACCAAAAAATAATATCAATTAAAATTATTACTAATCGTTTAAATAATAATTTATTGTAGGGATTAATTCAAAAGCAAAAGTGTGAATTCCATAAATATATGATTGAAAATATGTTTGAAGAAAAATAAATTTTAAAAAATGAAGACCAAATATGTTAACAAATGAATATATTTATTTTTTGAGAAATGGGTTTTTATTACCATTTCATTTTTATCATGAAATGATTCTAATATTAATATGTTAGATTGTGCTTCAAAATTACATAATCTATCAAATATATAATTTTTACAAAGTAATATGTTTTTATAATTTTTTTTTTTTAGTAAAGTAATAATGAAGGCTAGCATCCGTGTAACGGAGGAGGCTCATGTTATGGAGGCTCAAGATGAGCCTCCATAATAATGGAGGAAATTATGTACACGAAGTCTCATGTTATGAAGGCTCAAGCATGAGCCTCCATTCTGCTTGAGCCTCCATAACATATTATATTATAAAATTAATAAAATTTTAATTATTTTATATTTTTTAGTACTATTATATTATACCTTCCAAAAAAAATTATAAAAACATATTACTTTTAATTTTAAAAATTATATTTGATAGATTATATAATTTTGAAGTACAATCTAACATATTAAGATTAGAATCATTTTATAATAAAAATGAAATAGTAATAAAAACTCATTTCTCGAAAGACAAATATATTCATTTGTTAACATGTTTGGTTTTCATTTTTTAAATCTTATTTTTCTTCAAACATATTTTCAATCATATATTTATGGAATTCACATTTTTGCTCTTAAATTAACCCTCTCAATAAATTATTATTTAAACGGTTCGTAAATATTTTGATTGATATTTGGCTACTATATACCTTTTACTTACATATATAAAAATAATATTTTTATTTAAACTTACTTATGTGTTAAAAAATAAGCTTTCTAAAGATACATGATTGATGGCGTGAGAAAATAGTGAAAGAGATAGTGTGGATAAATAGAGAAGCATGGTTGTAGCGTGTAAAAATGGAGAAAGAGTAAGCCTCCATTATTTTATGTATTTTTATTTTAAGAATATTAAAAAAATTAAGTTGATTAATTGAAATTAAATTATTGTACTGAGAGTCAATGAAGGAAAAAAGAAAATAAAAAAATGAACGTTGGAGCCTCCGCTAAGCACACATGAGCCTCTGTTATTATGGAAGCGTCCATAAAGGCTCCGTAATACGGAGGCTC